AAGTCGCACACAGCTTTAACTAGGCGATTTGATAGCGATCAATTTCGAGGTATCTATCTTTTTGCACCGGACCATATAATTATATATTTTCTTAGTAAATTTGGATTTATTATTGGATACAAAAACAGTTGGTGTTATCGTTCACTTTTATTAATTGTAACCAATCAGATTTCTTTCTAAATGCACGCTTTCCTTTATCACAATTAGAGATGATAATTTCATACTGTATGTGGTATTTAGAAATCTAATTTCACCACATCGTTTTCTAATACCACACTAGAACGTATATATTTACTCCTCGTGAAATCAACTAACGGGCAGGACGCGAAATGAATTACACACATTAGATACACTCCCAAGATACTCTTTAACAAAATCATAAAAGCAAACTCGTTCAATTACATTATTTAAAGAATTTTTTCTTTGACGAATAAACAATTGTCATTTTTTGTTACAAGCTGGTCGTGTTTAACAGTTTGAAAGTGTAATCACTAATTCGTAGTCGGCTAATCATAACAGTCGTAATTATAATCGGAATCGTAACCGTAATCGCAATCGTAATCACAATCGTAATCGTAACCGTAATCGTAACCGTAATCGGAATCGGAATCGTAATCATGCTTAAGAATATCTTCAAACATTTTGTTCAGGATATTCAAACGAATGTATTTGAGTTTCTGAGGATCGTTAGTCCTGCGAGACACTTTTGGTTGAACTACCACCGTAGGTTTCTCACCGTATGGTTCTAACGATGATTCATCCGGATGAAAGTAAAAGGTTTCATCATCTACGCCAAAATGCCAATGCGCAGTTACTATCTTGGAATTTTTCGACACTTTCAAACGATGTATTTTGAAATTGGTGCCTAAAACGTCACAAACTCCCTTTGGAGGAGCGTTCGTGATTGCGAATTCGGTCAAATTCGGACAGCGTGACAGCCATGTCCATCCACAACCATCAAAGTTCCATTTTACAAGTTCAAGATGTTTGAAACGATCAAGATGCAATCGAAGTATTTCGACTAGTCTTTTACCCGGCCCGTTTGCAAACACCAGCCGAAGGTTCAACGGACAGGTCTGAACAGAAATCAGTTCTTGCAGAGAAGATAGCGATTCTCCAACACGACTGATGTCGTTGTCATGAAGGTTGATGTCGAGATGGGACTAAAAAAGATAATTCAAAGATGATTGTAAGTGATTATTCACGAGATGTCGTGCGTATTGGACGTATATCGCAACAAATACATACTAGTGTGGTGCAATTTTTTGCTAATGATTTAACTACTTTATTTTTTTGAAAAGGGGTATGTATTTTGACAAAGACGAGAGAACTCAATATGGAAGCGTATTCCGGCGCTGTCCAACTTCCATACAGTTTGTCGTTGTTAGCACCAGTGTTATCCATGATCAAGGATTCTAGACGAACACCACGATTTGTTAGCATTTGGAGTATGGCAGCGATTTTTATAAAGCTTTCGTATTTGCCGAAAGTCGCCAGCAGGTTTGTAAAATTAAGTTCTTTAAGAAACAATGGATAATCGTAAAGCGTTGAAACGGTACGATTTCCTTGTTTAAGGAACAATTCGTAAGTCTTTGACGCAACCATACTTCTTTTCTCTGTATAACTGAATGGAGCTTTCCAATATATTGGTACAGCTTCTCGACACCATAATCTATTGACTAGAAGTGCTGAAAGTAAATCACGGATACTCAATTGTTTGAAGATAATTTCGAGAACATCAGCATTTAAAATTGGCCTCGCCTCCATTGTTAGGACAACTTCCAGTCAACGAAAAAAAGCAGGTTAAATTCCATTCGGCTTGCATTGGCGTATTTGGTATTAGTATGTGGAACGGCATCGGAGTTTTGCTCTCAACTTTCCGGAAGTCGTATATTAATATGGGAAAAGTGAACATGCTGCACAACCGAAATGTGTGACAGATTGTCCCCAAATTTTTTCGTGCAATTATGTTTTCCCTTATTAGATGTCCTGGAAGGATCAATAATTATAACAAATATTTTAGAATTGGGTTTCAAGCAAAATCTACAAATCATTAGAGAATCTTTATACCTCCACTCAATGTTTTTGTCAAGAACATTATTAGGGGAACTACTTTGCAACGTAAATCCTTGATCCTGCGGAGTGGATTTTGCTCGTAGAAGAAAGTATTTTCTGAGGTATAACCTAAAGAAGATAGCGAATCCAAATACATTTTTAAAATACAACTCACTTACCATACGATCTTCAAATGTATAAAATTAAGTATTCAACGGGATATACCCCGACCTGAATTGCTGTATTCTTCGACTATAGACCTTAAGCGCTCAAACATCGATTTTCCATTACGACTGCCAAGTGCAGTCTCGCGATACTTTCGAAAAAGATGGAGAACAGTATCTATTCCGGATTGAATGCTCGACCAGAAAGTATTTCTGATCGTTTCTTCATAAGCGAACAAACGGAAGCAGGCGAATGTCTGTCTTTGAATAATTCTTCGCGGACTTCACTTTTGACACGGCAAAAACTGAGTGATGCCGCTGAATTAATTACATGGTTATGTGCAAATTTAATATTAATTTCTAGCGGATGGCTATGTGTAAGTTTCCAACGTTCCTATGCTTGCAGTACAATCGACATCTCGTTCCCGAAGTGAATACTGACGTTTTTTTATAGTTTTTTCTTGACTTTATGGCTATGGATACAATGGCGTAACTCCCTAAAAAGTATCCTGTTTCCTGTTATTTTAAAGCCCCTTGTTTGCAGCATTGTAGTTTTTAACTAAGATTCAAATGATGCCAACCATTCTGATGCTTCTTCTTTGTTACATACATTTACGAACGCATCTAACTCGAAATTTTTAACTACAAAAGTTCTCTTGCGTTCATCGAATCTTTGGTATAATCACGAGGAAGAACCGGTTTTAAAACATCTAGTAAAAGATTGCAGGAAAAAATCTACAAAATAACTAAATAAGAACAAATAACACGTATAATGAAACATTAAAAAATTTTACAAAATAAAAAAACCTCTTTTAATAGCAGATGACTTATATTATTGATGAACTATGTAAAAATTATCATAAACTAAATGATAATAAAACTAACTAATGACATACACATGCAAACTCGATAAGCCGGTCTCTCAATTTTGGTCTAAGAAGGCCAAAACTTCCCAAGCCCTTTAATATTTAAAATCTCTTGATAAGTCGGTTCTCTCGATAAGTCCACCATGCATGACCGACTTATCGAGTTTGCATGTATAATTAGTCAATAAATAACGGTAAACATTATCGATAAACTTTAACAACAGTTTTCAAACTAAAGTTCGCGCGGCGCATAATTGACAAACCTGTCTATTTCACTGTGTAACTTTTATAAACTTTAATTTTAAAGGTACTTATATGAACGTTAAAAGAGTTTCGTATGGTAAAAGTGAAAAGAGAAGTTTTGATTGAGAGAAAAATATTTGCTTCGACTAAACAAAGGAGATATTATTATTATTATGCTTATTTGAACGTTGATGAGGCAGAGTCAGTCAGATCAATTGACAGCCGCATAACCTGTCACACATTTCGGTCATGTATTAAACTCCAAAATTTTGACGCCATCAAAAAACAAACCGCGCTTGCTTCGCCCATTTCCAAACAATGAGCGACACCATTACACTCATGTGCCTTGTTCGCGGCGAGTCGTCTGATCACGCATTCACAGTTAGAATCAATAAATCAGAGTTTGTTGCAGACCTCAAGAAATTGATAAAGGCCGAGAAGCAACAACCATTTGACGGAATTGATCCTGACAACCTTACGCTCTGGAGAGTGTTTATCCCAGTCGAGAACGATGCTATACTTCAAAAACT